AATTGACCTCCCAAGGGACAGGTTGCCTGAGGTTGGGCCCTAAACAGGTTCAGGCCCGAGTCTTATTCACCTCAAAAGTGGTCACGTTTGAGACCCTTAAATGCCTAGATTCCTTACTGACTTTTTATTTGTGATTTTGGCTGTCAACGAGCCTGATTATTGGTGAAACACACAGGCACTCATAGGCTTAGGCCCAGGTCCCCACGAGTACATAAATCTGATTGGACTTGGGCCGTTCACTAAAATATTGAGGCCCAAACGACTTGCAAATAGACTGATTTGTTAAACCAAAGAGATCCACAATTCAATTAGACTAACTGCTTATTGAAGTTACTACAAGTTAATATAATTGTGTTCAGCAATTTACAATCAGGACAGCATACAGAAGTTACTACAAGTCTACAGCTAGGTAACCATGAGTCAAAACAGTCCGAAATGGTCCAAATTACTACTTACACAGTCCAGTTTTAGTTCCACTATGCATACAGGAGTAACAATATGCCACTAACTAAATCACAAAAGTTTATCTAAAACATACAGAATTGTTAAAATTACAAGGCAATATCTGAATTTTGGGCTTCAATTTCATTTCATGTTTTCAACAGGAGATGCTACATCAAACCAGTCTCGAGGTGTACCTGGAATTAGTAAGGAATAGGAAATGAGAGAAGTCAGCAGCAATAGCGAGACTCAACAGCAATTCAGGAACAATTTCAGAAATCCAGCAATGGATCAATCAACGCAGCAACATCAAGAGCAATTTCGAATCAAAATAACTTCTCAAACACCCAGGAACATTTCAGCAATCAAAAACCCACTAAACTGACCCAAAACTGACTTGTTTGAACTCAAAACTCAATCGAAATCAAACCAGGAATGATTCTGAACCTCAGCTATCAGAATTTGAGCTAAGAAATGCAAATCAACCACTAAACTTGAAATCAACCTAAGAAATGAATGGAACTGTACGTTTTTTTTTTGAATTTTCTGTAGCTTCTGTATATTATTTTTTTTTTTTTTTTTGGGATGGAAAAGAGACTTCAAAATTTCAGATCTAGAATTTGAATCTAGTAATTCAAATTTGGATTCTGGAAACTATAGCCTAGTTTTTTTGGGGAAATTGTGAGGTTAAAAAAAAACCTCTCTTCAAGGCACTAGAGGCTGCCTTTCATAGGCAAAGATGAGGGCAGCCCCCAATTTTCTATTTTCCTCTTAGTCCCTATTTTATTTTCAGCTTAGTCCTCTCTTTACTGACTTGTTTCTCAAGTTAACACACTAAAATTACTGAACCTTACACTAAAGCCCTATATTGGAAGGTCCTAGAAGATTCTAGTTCCAACTACCATGTGCTAACCAATCCTAAATATCTAAACTACCCTTGAATTCAACCTGAAATTACTGCCTAGCTTAACTAAGCCTCAGCCCCCTTTTTATCCCTGAAATTGTTAACCATGCTAACTATTCTAACCCTTCTAACTGACCATGGTTAATTAACTACCAAATTAAGAGTTAATCAACTATATCCAAACAACTAGACTATCTGAAATGATTATACTAAACTAAAAATATTAACGGAAATGAACACAATTATACTAAACTAACAGATTTAACCATGAATGACAATTAAGCTAGCAATATTAGAAACAGAATTTAATCATCCCTTATACTAAATCAGAAAATTGAAGTGATATCTACTGAATTAAAAGCTAATAATCACAAAAACAATAATTAAACTAAAACCTAAACTTAAACTGAACTAAACTAAGATGGATTAACTCGAGTGATTGACTATTGTGACCCGGGACGAACCCAAATAGCACAGAAGAATGGCAATCAAATAAAACTATACTTAAATTGATTAAAATAATTAATTAATTAAAAAGAACACTAAGAACGCCTAAGGAAAACTTACCGGTCAACCATTGTTGTTTGAATCCTCCAGGATTCTTGACACGTAGCATCCCTAATCGTGTGTTTTCAAAAGAAAACACGTGATTAGGGAAATTACGGTCCAAAATCCCCAAGATTTCTGAGTTAGGGTTCTGCCGGAATTGGGATTTAGAATTTGTAATGTTCCAGCAGATTCGAGGGTTTCTAGGTATGAATTGATGATGAGGGAGGGCTGAGGAGCATATAGTATGAATTTGGGCCGGTTTGGGTGAGTTTGTGACTTGGCCGGAAGAGTTTAGATCTAATATTCGAGGCGATTGAATGGGATTCGAGACAAACTAAGATGGGGGTTGGAAAGAGGAGAGAACGGTGGTTCTAGGGTGTAATTTTGGTGGCCATCGGAGCATCGCCGCCGGCGGCGACGATTTCCGGCCGGCGGCGCTAGGGCGGAGGACGGCGGAGATGGGAGGAGGACGGCGGGGCAACGCCGGCGTTACAGGGAGTACGAGGAAGATGGGTTGTGTTTTGGTTTTTTTGTATGATTTTCGGACAATTTTATTTAGATTGAAGGATCAATTGTGGCCATTGGATTAGATGGGATGAACGGTCGTGATTAAACGACGTCAAAACGACGTCGTTTTGAGTATGGGGGCAATTGGACCGGGCAGGGCGTTTGGGCCAGTGGTCTGGTCCGGTTTTGAGGGGTTTTGGGGGTCGGCTGAACCACTTTTGGCCCAATTTGGGCATTTTTAGTTGANCTGTATTTTAATAAAATTACTAAAATAAAACTAAAAACAATTGACTCTAATAATTATATTTCCTAATTAATTCCTAAAGAGAAATGCAAACTAATACCGAAAAATGCAAAATGGACCCTTTTTGTTATTTTCTTAACATTTTGTTCTAAAACAAATTAATACTAAAATATGAAATTAAATCCTAAATGCAAAAGTGCATATTTTTGTATTTTCATATGAATTAAAATGCACAAATAAAAATGCAACAATTACCAAAAAATGCCACAAAATTCACAAAAAATTATAACATACTAGACAAATTATTTTGTTTGAAATTTTGGGAATTATTGCTTAGGGCAAAAATCACGTGCTCACACTCCCATTAACTACTCTTTCCGTTTCATTTTATGTGTATTTATTTGATTTGTATGAAGTTTAAAAAAGAAACAATAATAGTTAAAATCGATAATCTTAAATGTTGCATAACATTTATGTTGCCATAAAATTATACCATCAAAGATAAAAAATAAAAAATAAATTATTTTTAAATATAAAAAGATGCCATTTTTTTACAAGCTAAAGAGGGAATAGAGTAACATAAAATAAAACAGAAGGAATGTATATATAGCACTTTTGGTCCCTCACTTATTGTTAAATTCTAATTTTGGTCCTTGTAAAATTTGACTCAACACATTTAAAATTTAATTAATTAAACTATGTGCGTTTGTCCCTTTACATTAAAAATATGTTATATTTGGACTATTTATAAAGTTATATTACCCTAAATATGGCTTAACAATACCAAATTAGCAAAACACATAGACAATGAAATATTGAAACAGGTAATAATTATGTTAAACTTGTATATATTTACAAGAAATTAAAGGGATAAAAAATGCACATTTCAATTAATTGAAGTTTAAATACACTTAGAGAAAAGTGCTATTAATATCACAAGGACTAATAATCAATAAGTGAGGGAGCAAATGTGGTAATAAACCAATACTATTTGAACGGTATTTTAAATAATCTGTTCTCGCCGCAAAAGTAGAAAATTGCACAAGTCAGCGCTGGCACGATCCCAGGAGTCTTGGGGAAAACTCAAAATTTGCCGTACAAGAAATGATTGGTGACAATTTCTAGGCATTTGGCTGTTGTATTCTCTCTCTCTACGATCAGAAATTACAGAGAAAGTGGAAGTACTGTAGGGTTTAATTTGTAGGCCCTATAATTTATGTTGTTAATTGACGGAGTAGATGAGGAACATCTCTTTGTAGATCTTAACAAAGAAATGACAATCCAAAACTTTGACCATTTCTCTTGTAGAAGCCAATGCCAATGGTACCCGTTGTGTTTGGGAAATTATGACATAGGTCGAGTTTCTAGTCCAAGAAAACATTGAGGATAGTTGACAAGTGTTGACCCTCCTTTCCTTCTGTCAAAGACTTATGAATAGACAATATATTACCTTAAAGACAAAAAACAAGTTAGCACAACTTGGTACTATAAGAACCCCACTATCCTCGCTGTTTATGTTTATATCTATTCTAACTTCTAGGCCAGTTTGACCAATATTATGGTAACTGGTAAAGGAAGACTTAAATTTTGGGGCGAGTGATGTGGATGTGTTTAAGCCCACATGTTTCCTTGTCTTAATACTAAGTTGTTTGAGGCCAAGTTTAGCTGTCAGACCAGTTGGTTTGATCCTTCAAAATTTAATACGGCTGTGAACTTTCCCTTTTTCTTCTTCTTCCTTTTTTCCTTCAAAAAATCTAGGGAGGAATTTGGTGTGAATAGGAGAAGATGAAGGAAGAAGAAGATCTTAATTCTGATGTGAAATAAAGTTGTTGAATTTAAACCTATGTATCGTAACATAGATATGTAATCACTAAATTACAACTCTTAACTTTAAATTTGAACGTTTTTATTTGAATGATATGCTAATGACTAATGCCTTCTATCATTTGACATAAACTCTTCAGTGTAACCTAAACAAAATTACTCCGTTGTACGTGCATGCTAATACTTTCTTTCTGGGGCTCCTTTTGTAAATATCTGCAACACATACCATGTTTTTATCACACTTAGGAAGTTATTGAGACTTTCTTCTACACTCACGAAATTCAATATACATTTTTCAATCATAGATTACAATTATTAGGATTTCTCATCTCTTAATTACGTTCAAGGATAATTAGGAAATATGATCCGGTCATTATATATGACAAATGTGTACATTTTTCTCAATTGATGCAATTTCGATGATGGTGCAAGAAGAGTACATTTTTCTCAAATGCGTGCTTTGACAATTTTATTTAATTTTAAAATATCATCTGCTTTGAAAATTGACTTAACACCTCTAGTCCTTCTAGACAGCACACAACGTAACGATCAACTCTTTCTTAACGACGCCATTTCTTAACTGTCAAAGTGTAACTATTTCAACGTTAACAAAAACTAAAAAGATTATTTGCCGTACAAAACTTTCAAATCCTACACCCTCTATAAATACGTACCCACATATTATCTTCAGTAATCAAATAAACAGCCCCTCCTTCCTTAAAGCCATTTTCCCGTCAAAAAGACAGAAGCTATTGCTTAGTTGCTAGCAATAAGAAGAAGAAGAAGAAGGCTTAGAAATGTCAAAAGCAGCAAAGAATATGAGAGTTCCAGTGAAGATAGTTGTAATCAACACACAATATATAGAGACGGATGCCAGCAGCTTCAAATCAGTAGTTCAGAGACTAACCGGCAAGAATTCCAATGTAGAGCTGGAGGCAACAGCCGCTCCACCGCCAGCCGCAGCAGCTTCCTACGGCGGTTGGAATTATCAAAATGGTGGAACGTTAATGGCAGAGACTGAGTCCAATATTGCGTGTAAACCAAGTCCAAATTTAGGGCGGGGGATGTCATTCAATGATTTTGACAAGTTGTTTAAAGAGTTGCCTCCTCTGGACGACCTTCTTCGCCTTTATGCAGATGAATTTCGTTCTAATTATTAGCCCACGCATGACTTATTCATACATGCTATTATATTGCTTCTTTATTCTAATTTGTTGTACTAAAACGTTTCTACTACCATTATTTAATTCATTCATTCTTTATTATCCCTCTCTAGTTCTGCTGAGCCCCCAATTTTTTATGCTCTGGTCAAGTGAGAGTAAATTTTATGTATGGTTATCTAATTTTTAATTTCATTACACAAAAGTTACTATTCTTTCTTTTGTCACACAAAAGTCATTTAACTTTGCACCAGTTATCACAAAAATCATTTTGGCCGGATTTAACAAAATTCCCGCCTGAAAAGTGACGTGGCAATCTTAATTAGTGTTTTATACTCCCTCCGTTTTAATTTATGTGAAACTATTTCCTTTTTAGTCCGTGCCAAAAGAATGACTCATTTCCTTATTTGGATCAATTTACCTTTATGGAATGATTTATACCCTCACAAAATATATGTGCCTCATTTTACACCACAAGTTCAAAAGTCTTCTCTCTTTTCTTAAACTCTGTTATTAAAACGGAGGGAGTATTGATTAAGCAAGTTAAATATAGTATTAACTCATGCCTTGACCCATAAAATACTTGACCCAGTTGCCCGAATGGAGCTCATTTTTCTCCATACTCTACACCTGTCGTGATTTACCTATGCCTTGACCCATTTTAAGTGCAACTTAAGAAAATTTTCAGTTCATTCAATGAAACTATTTAAAATGCAAAAATGGGATTTATCGATAAATCGATAACAAATAATCGATTCGATTTATCGATAAACCGATTCGAATGCACACCCCTATTGACATTCGATTGGCCATTTGGTGCCAACTTTGTCATACATTTATAACCCAATTAATTGTGCAAAGATATTGATAGGGATTTGTCGTATCTTGGAAGTTGTAACGAAATCACTCTACTCGTTGTCTAGATTTTGGATTGAATATTCATATTTTTCCACATGATTTAGAGCCAAAAATTTTATAATGGTAAAAAGTGGACTCACCACTTGGGCAAATCAACTGATGACACATGGTGGACGATGCCAAATTACGTTAGGAAAACAACCGATGGATCGATAAGTCGTCTAAAAAAAATGAATTCGAGATCAATTGATACAGGATAGTTGGTATAGAGATCAATAAGGAGTCAATACTAGGAGTACGTTTGGACATAAGAAAGTTTTCTCTTTATTATCAAAAATAGCATTTGTTCATAAAATTTTCAATTTTGACTTGAAGATGCATTTTGGAAACTCCAACAAGCTGTTTTTCAAAATTTTCACTCAAATCACTCAAAAAACTTCAAAAATAACCCAAAATTATATTCATGTCCAAACACAACTCTAAATTTCAAAAATTATTTTCACTTGAAATTTTTTTTCACCATTTTTTGGAATTTTACAATTATTATGTCCAAACGCTCACTAGAAGATTCTCTGTGAAGTCTCACATGTACGGATAAATAAGAAGTATTAGTCAATACCTGTTACTTCCAAACTACCCCCTAGACGTAATTGGCACCCAGCACACACCACCCGCCAGGTGAACCATACTTTTATACCTTAGCCAGTAATTTGCAGCATTTAATTAATTAAATGAGTATTTAATTAATCTGATAATTAATTGCCAATAATTAATATCTCAAAATATTAAATCAAAATCCTAGCCCAAATCCCACACTAGAACTTGGAGCATCTAAGAGAATTACTGAAGACATCGTATGAATAAATGATAAACACTCTTTTGGCAGCCTCCACGAACAATGCGGTGGCTCACCTCTGTAACTTAATCAACTATAGCGAACTCGTCAACTACTAGCTCCGTCTTCACCAATTGTATCTACATAGACATGCAGGTAAGGAGTAAGTTATACGTAAATATAACCCAATAAGATCCTCGACCCGCCACTTTGAATACCTCTAGAACAAGTGTTTGAAAATACAAACACACAACGAGCACATAAGTAATATGCACATAAATGCTTTTACAATATAATTACTCTATAAGGTCCAAACAATTATTCAATAACAACACGATATATCTCAGCATAATTTACACCGAGGATTTATTATAAATGGCAGTGCAGGAAACTAACCAAACACCCCAATGAGTTCACGGCAACATACACAATGCCTCAAATCTACCACGGCGGCATACACAATGCCTCAAATATATTACCGCAGCGAAGAAATAGTTTCTAATGCCCCAATGCCATAACACGAGGCCACGCTAACGACAAGTTTCCCAACCTTGCAACTTCTAAAATACCAATCAAACAACCTCCAATGGCCTCAATCTATACCAAATATTGGTTAACAGTGTCAATTATGCTAATCAACTCTAATTTCAATCTCCTTAACTTCCGGGTTTAGAGTTAAATCTTAATATTTTACACCTTACTAAAAATATATAGCCCAATATCTCAGTCTAAATCAATACTCAATATCAGTTTCTCTTAATTAGTACTTACGTCCATTGATAATAACCACATAATAATCGTCATAATATTTTTATACTTAAAAGAATAAAGATTCGAATTGTGGCTTTCCACTTAAAGTGAAATTATGTTTCCAGATGCCGTAGATACAAATCTTTAGAAATTTCAATCTTTACTCTAATCTACATGCCACTCATCATGTCCATATCGTTATTTGTTATCATTACTTTGCTTTCAATAATTAATTATTTATTTACCCTAACTTCAAAGTGCATGCTAAAATTAACTTTCATACCTGGAAGTCTGGATCCTTTTGAAATTGTAAGACCTTTCACGTGAGGCTCTATTGCGCCGTCAATATCCCTAATCTCTTCAAATCAATTTTGTTCTTTTATGTTCAATAACCAAGAAATAATTTACCTTATTATTTTATTCTCAATTTGTAATATGACATAGACTCACTAGCTACTAATTTAATATACTATATTATTCCATATATAATAAATTTTCTTCATGATCAAGGATGATCTAGTGTCCATATTCTGTTTTCCTTAATTGTTAGTTGCTGTATTTTCTACTGTTAGTTGTTCCGATTTTGGTGGAAATAAATCTGGTGGTAGAACAAGTCTTCAGCAACCAAAAAGCTAGGTAACAGACTTTTAAAAAGCTCCTAATTTTTAGCAACAGTTCTGGTGATTTTTAGGAACAGAATCAGACCCCAAGTAGGCTATAAAAAGATCTGTGTAGCTGCTTGAAAAACACAAAGAGAGAGAGAGAAGAGAGAGATGTGTTTTGCTATATAATTCCTCTCAATTTCAACAATAAAAGAAGGTCTTTCAGTTTGAGTTTCATTGTCTTTTCTCTTCTTCTTTCCCTAATGTTTTGATTACACTATAGAATTGTTGCATTCATTGAACACTCCTCACTTAAGCAGCAGATCATATTTTGGTATAAGAGCAAATAGATCCTGCATGTGGATGGTGCAAACGAAGTCTGGGTACAAAGCAACATGTGAACAACTTTCTGAATTGCACATACATCGACGTTCAATGCAACAACCAGTCCGTGCAATGGCCAGCGACGACGAGGCTCCATCTTCTTATCTGCCTGAGAAAGTTGCAAAGCTTACATCTGATATGGTTGTTGTACTTAATTGGATAAAAATCAAGCAGCCATGCCTCCAAGAGAAGGAGAGAATGTCAATTCCACTTCCAGGGAAGTGGTCGACACCAAGAGAAGACGAGAACTTGGCGACGTTGATGATGGAGATGCTAGCAGTGATGGTACAAACATAGCCACCTGTATTGACAGATATTCGGCCATTTTTCGACCAGGGGGTCAACCCCATCACGACCACTTTGTAATAGATGGTCAACGCCGCTGACTCTTGATTTATGACAGTTGTCCTTAAAACAAACGAGGGGACGTCTCCACAACAAAAGGAGGGGCCCATTCGTGACCAGATGGAAAAGCCTGAGGCTATAAATACCAAGGGAGAGAACCTCCCAAGGGGGGCTTCTTCTTCGACACAACTCTGAATACTCCAAAAAGAAAAAGATATACTCCATAAGTGGAGCCAAAAACAAGATCAATGTAAGATCCTGAACCTCTTAAAAGAGAGGCAGATCAAGTCACCTTGATGAATAAAATCCTGTTTATATTGTTCCATAATTGATTATTTCAATGTCTCAAGTTGGTCTTCTAATCCAGTAAGTGGAGCCAGAAACAAGATCAATGTAAGATCCTGAACCTCTTCAAGGAGAGGCAGGTCAAGTCACCTAGATGAATAAAATCCCATTGATATTGTTCCATAATTGATTATTTCAATGTCTCAAGCTGGTCTTCTAATCCAGTGATTAATTATGATTAGCTATGATTTACCCTTTGAATTATTTCGATTGATTTGCTTGGAAAGTATTCGATAATTTTCAGTCAAACAATTTGGCGCCGTCTGTGGGGATTTCCTAGTGAAATCACATAGTTTCTCCCTGGAATCGAAGCTAAAGGAACGTCAAAAAAAAAGAGAAGAAAGCAATCCAACTCAGACAGATAAGAGGAAGCACATCGAGCACGTAATACTCGAATGCATCAAAGGAAACTGAGATCCGAAAACAACCACACAAGAGGAAGAAGCCCCTCTCCCTCAGAACAAAAGTACGAGGCATTTCCTTCACCCCTAACGCGGTGTCAGGCCGGAAACCGACACAGGGCTGTCTCGAGCCAGGAGCGAGACTCAGGCCACGTGCCTTCGCCGTCAGAATATATCAGGTTCGACCTCAGTCGAACCGGGACTCAGGCCAAGTGCCTTCGCCATCAAAATATATCAGGTTCGACCTCAGTCGAACCGGGACTCAGGCTAAGTGCCTTCGCCATCAGAATATATCAGGTTCGACCTCAGTCGAACCGGGACTCAGGCCACGTGCCTTCGCCATCAGAATATATCAGGTTCGACCTCAGTCGAACCGGGACTCAGGCCACGTGCCTTCACCATCAAAATATATCAGGTTCGACCTCAGTCGAACCGGGACTCAAGCCAAGTGCCTTCGCCATCAGAATATATCAGGTTCGACCTCAGTCGAAGCGGGACTCAAGCCAAGTGCCTTCGCCATCAAAATATATCATGTTCGACCTCAGTCGAACCGGGACTCAGGCCACGTGCCTTCGCCATCAAAATATATCAGGTTCGACCTCAGTCGAACCGGGACTCAGGCCAAGTGCCTTCGCCATCAAAATATATCAGGTTCGACCTCAGTCGAACCGGGACTCAGGCCAAGTGCCTTCGC